CCGACCGCTGAACGAGCATCTCTTCCCTGCACAATCCGCCCCCAATATAACTTGCACAATCGACGGCCCCAACACAAATTTTCAATTGGGGTACCAGGTTGTTGTCTGAGGAGATCTAGAGAAGTTGGCGATTTGGAAGAAGGCAGCGCCGGCGAGGACGACGAGGAGCTCGGTTCGGTGGTTGAAGAGAATCTCGAACCCGACTGAAACCGACCACAGCAGCAGAGTGCCCAAGCAGAACTTTCCAATCTTGCTGTCGATTTGGTTCTGGGTCGGCCTTGCCATTCCTATTTTTAAATTTGGTTTTCTGCTTCTGTGCAAAAGAGAGTTCGGCTGTCGATTTGGTTTTGGGTCTCTTTTCATTGGCAAACTGCTGCAGGGGGATTTGCGGTGGAGGAGGAAGCAAGGATTTGCGGGAAGAGGAGTAATCACCGAATCGTTCAGAAAGTAGAAGAAGATTGGTGGGTAACGGGGAGGAGTAGTAGACGAATGTGGAAGACGATTTGTGGGGAAGAGGAAATTTGGGGAAGAACCCTAATTTCGATTCCGGCCAAAAGTTGGGGAAGAAGGATCGCGGCTTGTGCGAATCAGGTGGGAATATAAGGGAATATTTTTTTAGATAGAATTTTTATTTTTTTAAATAATAAATAATTTAAATAGCTGAAGTGTCATTATTTGCTTAGTTGTCGCTGACGTGTCCGCTTAATTGGCTCCTCGTCAGCCGACCGTCAACTAAGTTGACGGTGTGATTAACACCGTTATAGTTTCTAACGGAAATGGCTATATCTGGCACGCAACATCTTTCAAAAGTGGCTATCAGTGGTATTTCGCCAAATGTGGCTATAAGTGGCACAAAGGTGAAAGTTTTGGCTATCCAAGTGTATTTTGCCATAAAAGAATTATGATTTGTTGTAAAGTCTTTTAAGAGTAACTGTGTTTATCCATAACTCCTGGCTAAATGTCCTTCCTTGCACTCTCTGCAGGCTGCAACGATCCTTTCCCTATAAATTCCAAGCACTATGGATATGGAAATGAAACTGATCCTTTGCTCTAAAAAACGCAGCTTGTGCCCAAATGTATGGCGGTATGCACACGTCTCAAACTACTATGCAGGAACATTGAAACAAACACGTTACGTTGCATTGAAATTTCTGATGCACTGGAACTTGCATCTGATACTGGAGAGTTCGTTTCAGGTGTAGTGAAGGATCCATCCTCCCTCTCTTTGAAGAGGGAAAACGAAGCAGTCAGCTTAGTCGTTCCTCGATATGGTCTGTTATTATTGTTCGACCGCATGTGGAGAATGTCTCCCCATGGCAAGCCACATGTAGAGAGAGAAGCCCTGAGCTTTGAAAGGAAGTGGAGATGTAAACTTTCTGAGCAGATGAACAGTCCCTTGGAACCTGTTTGTTTTTTTGTTGTTTTTAGTTGCCTACAAATTGGTCTCTCGTGTTAACCAAGACGAGCTCATTAGTGATTTTGGTAAAGGTTATTAGTGCCGATGTGCGACCAAGCTATTGGGGATCCTTGGTTTCAAGGATTTAGTACTAGGTCAGTCTCATATTGTATTATTTCCCTGCTCAAATTCTGATTATCCACACTAATATAAATCTGATCAAACTAACAATTGGCTTTTATTGTGACAGTTTCTCAAATACCGCACCTCATTGCATCTGACGACAGCGGTGAAGGGGCTAAGCAATGCGGATCGCTGACGTGACAAAATGTATTCCCTGCACTTGTCTACAGTGGTGAATGGCCCACGATAGTTCACGTCAGTGATCAACGTACCTTCCCCACTTTTCCTTAAAATGGTGAAAGCATCACCATTTTTGTTTACAACGGTGATAGCTTCCACTAAAACAGTGATGCCTTCACCATTTTAATTAAACGCGGGGAAGTTATGACCATTTTTGTTCTCGGCGGTGATTGTATTCACTGCCTTAGACAAAGGCGATGAATGTCAAAGATGTATACTTTGGGAAATTTTTTTATAACTAGTGTATTTTGAGATTTTTCCCTTAATATTTGCTCCTATGTGCAAAGAAGTTTCGTGGAACTGAAAGCATTGGCCAATAGGTATTCTGTTTTTGAGCTGTAAATCTTTCTATCTGAAATCCCGCACATTTTTAATACTTCATTTGGACCTGATTTGCATATCGAAACTTGTCCGAGAACTTTCGAGCCCATATTTTGGACCTGGAGAAGCAAAAGTAAGTGAAAATTCAAGCGCAACACAGTTTGGAAGCCCTTGCTAGACCCTCAAATTATCTGGGACCCAACAACCTAGTCGGCAGCAACCGCTGGACACTTATGCACCCTCCAAAGCTGAACAATAGGATAGGACGACACTCCTGCATCCTCCAACGCTGATGTCGATCTAGTCATCAGTAACTATGCTAATGCTTATTCTCCACCTCAACCCCTAGACGAGGGTAGGGATTGTAGAAAGCGCCGCAGAGTAGTTGAATCAATGAACGCACTTCAAAGAGCACTGCCATAGTGGTCCGACAAGTAGAAGGTCCAACCTCCGCAACAGCCTCTGCAGTTTACAGGAGGAGCATGAGGTTTTAGACCTCCTACGATTCCTTAACCAAATCCACCTTTTCGCCTCCCGGTTCTCACATTTCCGTGGTATTCGTTCGGGTATCCTGGACACAGAAGATAAGTGCATGTTCACTGCATCATTCCCTGTACTTTATTGTTCTGTCCTACCCCCAGTGCTCAGGGATGTAGATGGTTAGTTTTGGGTAGAGTTGGAACCACCAACAGGGTATTTTGGTTGAAGGTGTTGCACAAAAGCTCTTAATTTTAAGTTTCCTAACTAGTATCAATACCCGCGGCTACGCCGCGGCTAAACCAAGACTTAATTTGGAAAGTGGCCGTGGGTAGTAGGATCGGATTAGTGGGACTAATCGAACAGGCTTGCTACTGTGAGCTGGGAACCTGTCATTGTTGATGCAAGATAACACCCGCTGCATTTGTTTCCATTTAAGATCTGTCTTTGTTAGTTGATTAGGGGTGACGGCAAATTATTCTTGAAGCTTTTAGTATTTGTTTGTTAGCTGGCAATTTGCTACTGTTGGTACAGATGGTTTCCTGTGAAATGTTATAAAACAAAAGAGAGAGTGCTGAAATTACTAACTATTGGGTGATTTGGCAGGATTTACAGCAGACTTGGGGCTGTTAGGTTTTCTTTTTCTAGTCAACAAATAGCACATCCATATACATTATGTTGCAGAAATCTATCGTTGAGAACACATGAACCCATAAATGACAGGAAATTAAGCAGGGTCTTGGAAAGGAGAAATAAAAAAATAACACAGTTTACTGGAGTTAACCATGTCAATTAAACATCAACTATACACATAATTTTCTAGATCCTGTTAACTACAATTATGAGGCAAAGGTATCCATCAATTGTAGAAAAAGAGCATTACCGGAAGAAGGCTGAATGTAGAGGAACTTAAGAAGATCAGACAGAAATGTCAAATTGAAATGGTAACGGCAAACCAGATGGCAAACACTTTTAAAATCAATATTTAAATCCAACCCATTGAAAAGCATATGCGACTGCGCGTGTGACAGGAAAGAGGATTCAGCTTACTGGTTGACATGTTCAGCAGCTTGTCTGTCGGTTATACAATCTCGATGACCATTGATGATGAGAAACAATAGCAGGTCCTTAATGTCCCTTACTGATGGAGAAGCTCTTGATCCATACTCATGCACTGAACAAACCTATCATGCTATGAGAAGAGTTTTTGAAGCGCATTATCCTGGAAATTTCTACATATAATCAGCAAGCCAAAAAGGAATAGAAATTGATTACCTATCAGATAATGACTTCTCACGGCAAATCATATAAAGTAAACTTAATATGGATTCTGAAAAGTGAGAATCTTATATCTGACCATCTTTCAGGTAGGATTCAATCAATGCCTGATTGGTGATGGTGTATTTCTTTCCTGATGGGAACTAAGAGAAGTTTTAATTAGAGCTTGTATAAAATCTTGAAAAAGTTAGACTACGAAACAATGACAAACTGATCTAGAGTAAACAACGGGGAATGGAACAACATGGATTCACGAAAAGGGTTGACATCCAAACACGGATCCATTTAATTAGTATTTAAACATGGATTAAAAAATACATAATTTGAGCAACAAATTCATGAAAAGGGTTCACAAACTTACATTTAGTGATGAACTGCAGTTCCCGAATGGTTAAGTAGTAAATCAATTACATTCCGAAGAAATAGCGTTGTAGCAGCAGCAAAAGCATGGTTTATAGTATTGGTCCCGACCTGTAAAAGAAAATGATGGTAAATGTATAATTAGGTTATATGTAAGCTAGATGGCCCAGCAATGAGAGAACTCCAATCAATTTGGAAGAGGTTCTGAAACTCTGAACTGCAGAAAGATCCTGCAACTCCTCCAGGAGCCTGTACTGAGCAGCAATGATGGTAATTTTGATTTAAATGAAATAAACAGTAGATACAGCAAGCACACAAAGTCTCATATTATGTGAATGGTAAATAAATCATTGAGCATATCAAGAAAATCAATAGAGAAGTAACCACCTTTCAACCCATCTGTGAAGAAAAGAAGATTAACACCTTTCAAGGCATTTTTGTTCTTGGTGCCCTGAAACTAGGGCTGGCAATCGGTTTTCCGGTTAGCGGCTAACCGGTCGGTTTCGACCGAACCGAACGATTTTCGGCTAACCGGAAACCGTCCTTAATTACATTCGGTCGGTCGTCGGTAGCGAGGGGAGAAGGCTCGGCTAGCCGACCAACCAAGGTCGGAAACCGGCGGTTAGTCGACTAACCGAGCAATTACCCAGCCTCCTAAACGACCCGACTCCCTTCTGAAAACGACACCCCAAACCCTAGCCGACGTCCCGACCCTCTTCTCTTCCGTCATCCTCTCTCTCTTCTCTTCCCTTTCACCTCTCAAAATGAAAACCCAGAAGAAGACCCTCTTCTCTTCCATCATCCTACCTCTCTTCTCTTCCCTTTCACCTCTCAAAAAGAAAAATGCCAGTGACGCCATCTGCACCGGTGAGCAACTCGTGAGTTGGATAAGCCATAATAGGGCACCGACCCTAAAAAATCCGACTATAGCGACAAACTTACAAGATCTAGGTCGGACTAAGATGAGCGCGACGGCGATGAGATTAGCACATGAGAAGGTAACTGAGGCTAGGGCGACTCCGGCGTGGGTGACGACAACGTAGGATCAAGAGCCGACACGGGATGTGATGACGAGGAAGTCTCATAAGCGAGGTCGCTGAAGGAGAAGGAACCTAATTGCAACGGCTAATCGGACGGGCCTGACTCTGGCGACGGCGAGGGAGGATCTGCAGACACAGACGGCGGACGCAAAGATGGAGCGGCGGAGACTGTTCTTCCGATTTGGAGTGCTCGGATGAAAGAGAAAAGGATGCATGAAAAGAAAAGGGGAAGAAATTAAAAAGGAAATGGACTGTTGATATTCCACCCACAAAATCCGCACACCCCCAAGCCGAAGATTGCGTGACAAAGAATGAGTGGTGGGAGAATTTTTGGATTTTTTTATTTTTTTTTAGATTAGGGTGTGGGTTTCGGGCTTGGGGCTAACCGAACCAAAACCGTCCAACCGACCGGTTGGTGGTCGGCTAACCGCTGTATCTCCCACGGTCGGTGGTCGGTAGCCGGGGGTGGTCGCTCGGTTTAACCGATAACCGAGAATTCGGTTTTCGGTTAAACCGAAACCGACCGACTGACACCCCTACCTGAAACTAATCTAAACACTTCTAGCCCTGCAATTTCCCTTATAATTTGGCATCTCCATCACCTATAATCCTCTCCAATTTCAGCAGCTCATTCATCAATAGCTTGTTAAAGCTGAAAACTTCATTTCCTCATACATTCCCACCTATACTATTTACTGATTCAAGAGTCCAAATCTATAAGAAAGCAACCAGGTTGGACATTCGGATGAGAACTGGCAAATTGAATTACCTACAACCAATGGAAGAATATCAAAGAGAAAATGGAGAGACAGTAGACTTCAAAGGTGATCTCGGAAATGGACCACAAAGATTTCTCCATCTTGCCATTCTTTCTCATCTCAAGGAAGCGCTTCTCCTGGCCAATATGGGCTTCAAGCAGAACCATTTTGGACATGTCTCTAACCTTGTTATATCCATGAACGCGTTGGAATACCTTTCTTTTGTCTTTGTAAATCAGTTTTCGGTCTTGAGAGTGTAGGTCAGTTGTTCCAGACAACAACTTCTTCAGGCTGGAAAAAAAAACCAAATCAAAACTGAAAAGAGTGTAGAAGGGGAAAAAAAAGAGAAGTGGGGCTTGCACTTACAGAATGAGGCTTGAGAGTTGATGTTGAGTTGTAGAACCCCAGGTTGCTGCTACCGTAAAAAGAATCATCTTATTGTTGTTGACTTTCCCTCGACTGGTCGTCCCTCATTCTGTATATCTCTGTCCACCCAGCACTGAACCACATGCGACCTACTTAGCCCAAAACTGTGATCCAAACACGACAGGCGAGGCCATCAAATAGCCACCGGAGCATTGAAAACTCCAACGACGGAGATATGGAAGGAAAAAAAAAGGAAAGCAAAAGTCCAGGAAAGCAAAAAGGAAATCGATCGTACGAAGTGAAACCTGTATTGATAACTCTGCGGCCATTGCTGAGAGGTCAAAGGGCCGACACCTTCACCGCCGTCGGCATTCTTCTCCTCGTCGTGACCTTCCACGTTCGAGTTTTTGTTGCTGAAGCTCGAGGAGGGAGAGTAGAGTGTGGTCGGAGAAACTAATTGGTGCCATCTCCGGTATCATCGGCACCGTCGTCATTTTCATGTCTATCGGAGTCATCTACAGAGAAATCTGCATGTGGGAGACCGATATCAATCATGCTTGGCCATCTACACCGAAGACGCTGCTCTTATTGAGGAAGACGTTAACTGGGAGGGAGTTAGGAGGCGGCGCAGTGATGTAGAGCAGCATCCAGAGTCAGGGAAAGAAGATTAGGGTCTTGTAGACCCGAACAGGGAGAGTGGACCTCGTCTTCCCACCACCTCGTCCGAGGCTCCACTCGAAGCGGAGAGCATAGAATGAAAAGCAGCAGAGTCTCTTTTGGACGAAGGGGTGGAAGATGTATTTGGCACGGTAAGCAGGGGAAGTTATGTCGGTACTGTAGAAATCATGGTCGGTAGCGTGTAGGAGTAGTTGCGAGAGGACAGAAAAGACTAAAGTGGTGGATTGTGATTGTGGATTTTGGGGTGAAGGTCGTGAAAGGGATGTAGGAGGACATAGAAAGAAAGTATGGCCACTCTGTAGCTGATGAGTTGATGTACCGAACACGGAAAAGGAAGGGTGGGGTGTGATGGTGTTTGTCAATTGGGAAGGCCTTTTAATCTCAGTCCACAAAACGCCAAAAAATGAAACAGTAATAGAAGTGTTGAGGTAATAAAGTGTACCCAGCTTTCATGTTCTATATAATTGTGACCCTTGAGTTGTTGCAAATGTGAACTTATGGAAGCTTTGGTCATTTCCTCGTCTGTAAGGGACGCAAAGTGTTAGTTATAGTTTAGGTTCGTTTGGATGAGGAATTCTAATGGAATAAATGGATTAATCTAACACAATTGTCTCATTTTGAGACAATTGAGATAGATTGATGCGTGTGGCAGTAGAAAAATGGAATAAGCAATTTGACTTGGGAAATTTTGAATTGACTCATAATTAGAATTGTCTGGGGTGACAATTTACTAAATTGTCTCGTTTTGCAATTGATCCATCCAAACGACCCCTTATGTTCATACCACCATGGTACGCTTTTATACCATATGATATGCCAATCAATACCACCACGGTAAAGACTGGTAAAAATGCATAAATTATTTTTTGTTCCAAAAATATATCAAAGTGGATATCATTTTGAAGAGCACAATTAATCTTATTTATCTGTGCAAAAAAATTTAAATTCTAACTTAAAACAAGAGAGAAATCGTCTATTAAAGATTAAAAGAAAATATTAAAGGCTTTCCAGGAGAGAGAGGTTTTGATGTGCGGATTCTGGTTGGATTATGCATGGTTATTAACAGGATCTGTTCCCGTATATATGGGAGAATGCTATTTGCAGTTTGTTTTCTTGGGTTTCAAATATCCAAATTCATCTGCAATTTCGCTTCCAAGATTATGATCTAACTTCCTCTTGTTGTTGTTGTTTCTGACTAGGTTGTTGATTGTCTTGTCTGATAATTTAAGCAAGGAATGAGATGGTCGGCCAGAAATGGCCGAGTTTTTCTGTGCATGCTTCAAGTTTCTCTTCCTTCTGCTTCTGTTGGGCCGAAAAGTGGGAATCGAACTACTTTAGCAAAAAATTTGTCCGAGTCGGATTTGATTATAGCTTTCCGTACTTTTGTCTCTCAGTCGATCTGGAGAAAGCAGCGTGATTACGATCACCCAGAGCAACCACCCACTACACAAACCAGCCCCTACACAGCACAATTAAAGGAGAGACCGACCAACAACATCATTAAAATCTGTTACTAGCGGGTTAGAAGGGGAATGAACCTATTATTTTATTTGGGTTCTTTATCTTGTTTAAAAATTGGAAAGTCTATTTCAGATTAATCAAAGAATATTATTGAAATCTCTAATTTTCTATCTCTCACCTTCTCTCAATTCTTCCCTAATTTCTTCTCAATTCACAACCACTGATCCTTGGTACAATTCTAGGACGAGGTGAGACAGATAGCAGAGACCAATGTTGTCAAACCCTGACCGAGCAACAATCCGGATTAGTGAGAGGTTTGAGGTTTATCAGATTAACAGTGATTAGCCAGCATAAAATCGATTATAAAACCGGTGCATATAATTTTTTGAATTTATTATAAATTGAGAATGACTTTATTATACATATGAAAATTAGTTCTAGTATTTAAATTGAGAATTCTATATCTTATTAACATATTCAATTCAAGTATAAAAAAATATAATCATAGTGCTTATAAAATAAATAATAATATATAATGACTGAAAAATTGATCGGAGGGATGGGGTTTTCACCTTTTTGAATTTGACAGGTTATATTGGTCAAATGTGAAATTGAATGGAGAATTGAAAATGAGAAAAAGAGGGAATGAATTAATGAATTGAGGAAAGAATGAAGAATGAAGAGAGAAAACGTAAAATTATGAATTGGTAATGGGTGCAGGGGAAGAGATAAAAGTGTGAAAGTGGTTAAGAAAAGGAAAAAAATTATTCCCCTTCCCTTTTCAGTTAATGCTCGATTTGAAGAATAAATATAAGTTTCTATAATAATAATAGAAAAGGAAATGGAAAGTAACAGTAGGAGGTAACCGTCGATTCGGGTCATTCGAGTTTGTCAGTTATCTGGTTAAACCGATCAATACCTAGCCGATAGTTTTCTTTACATTTTATAGCAATTGAAACCGAAAGACTAGGTGGTTCCGGTTTTCAACAGTCAGATCGTCTGGTCCGACCCAGTTTTGACAATACTGGTAGAGACTAACCTGTATCTACATGAGAGTAAGGAGAAGGCCATTAGTGGGACCCTAGGTGATTTTACCTGCCAGCATGTGATTTGAGTTTGATTATACATGTTTATACCCTCTAATCGTTTGGCTTGATATTTGTAGTTATTTAGCCCATTTCATGCCAGGCTGTGCTTGGTTTGGTATATTTAAGATCCTAGCAAGTGAATTTGGCAAAAAGGAACAATTGTCAGACCATTTGGAGTCAAAATCAGGACAAAATAAAGAAGTTGCAGAAGTCACAGTTCAGAGCACCAAAGTCAAGGTCAGACCGTGAGATCCGCAGAAGCAGTAGTAAGATATGCAAGGTTCTAACAGCAAAACCACAGTGATCGGGCAGTTGCATAAGTCACGGTTTCAAGGTTCCATAGTCAAGATCAGGACAAAGTCAAGAAGTTGCAGAAGTCACGGTTCAGAGCACCAAAGTCACGGTCAGACTGTGAGATTCGCAGAAGCGACAGTAAGATATGCAAATGCAAGGTTCCAGCCAATGCAGTCAAAATCGCGCTTTCAAGCGTAAAATCGTACGTTTCTACCTATCTAGACCACAAAAACGCTTCAATTTCTACCTAAATTCGCTTAGTACACAAAAACGTAAAAAAGCGTAAAAAAATCGGTAAAGCGTAAAAAAGCGGTAAAAACGCGTTTCCACTGCGTTTTTATACGATTCCATGCACGGTTCACAAATGCCTAATTATTTGTAAAACAATGACATTTTATGCTGACTGGTAAAAAAATGACGGTCGCTTGCCTTTAGCTATCATCGAGAGAGAAGGGAAAAGAACCCTAAATCGGCTTCTCCATCTCAAACTCACCAGCCGCTGCGCCCTCTACCTCACATCCCCACTCTCCTTCCATCTTCCCCGGTGGAACTCACCACGTCTCC